TTTTACGAATTATGATCCATTACCTGATGCGACAGATCACTGACCTGTCAACACAAAATGTGTATCGCTCAGTTCTTATTACTTTGGCAATGCAGGCGTGTTTTTCATTCGCTTAACTTTTTATTTTATTTTCATACTGAGGGTTGAACGAGTCCATCAAAAAGACGCGTTCTTTATGCCTCTGTTCTGGGAGGACTCCCTTCCGCTGCTGTAGCCGTTGGTTCGCCATTTCTCCAGACCAGTAGCCGCGCCGGTCACTCTATTGTCCCCCTTTATCAAACCGCCGTGGCATTTCTCCTGGCCAGTAGCAGTCCGGTCACTCTACTGTCACCCCTGTATCAGCCGCCGCGGCGAACCGAGCCGATGACAGGCGATCGATCAGAGGCGGGCCGGCGACGCCGTCCAGTTTTTGGGACTGCTCTGACCGCGGAGTGGCCGCCGACAGTCCGTGAAGGCACGTCTGACCGGCGAGCGGGCCACGCCGTGACTGGACGGGGTTCGACGGAGTGGCTGGCCGAACCGACGCGGCTCCTGGGCTCAGATCAATGAGTCGGGGCCATTCAACCCAATCAGGAGGATTTTACGCGAAGAAATGTTTCGCGTAATCCGGGGGCATGGTCCATTTCAGGCCCCAAACAGCCGCAGTAAAGCCTCGTCTCAGGCGCTCTGTCTCAGTCTGCTCTCAGTTTATTCTCGGAGAGCTGACGCAGCTCGTTATGATGATTGGAGTTTTGACTTCACGGTCATCGGCGCCCATGAGGCTACTGCAGCTATTCACTCCACCGCACGATGTTTTGTGTTGTGGTCCCCCTCTAATCCAACCGTCACAGCTCGCCGCTCCCCTCCCCGCTACCACAACAGCCGCTCGCCTTCTGTCCTTCCTCCCGAACAAAAACTCGTCGTCTTCAGCCCGCTCTCCATTATACGCGGCCGCCCACGTGACCGCCGGACGGCTCTCAGCACTGTGTCACGTGACCGGTGGCCGTGGGAAGTCGTGACGGCCCGGTTGGCCAGCTGGCGGCGCTCGGCTGGGCGCCGGTCGGCTCGTTACGAACGGGGCAGGCGGGAGTCCGGGCGGGCGGTTCAGTGCTTGACTCACCGTCCAAAGTTTACCGCCCACCGCCCGCCGCCCTGGGTCGCGTCGGTGCCGTCCATTGCTCCCTTCCACCTCCCGCCGTCGTCGCTGTCCACTCCCATCCCCCTCCCGTCCACCACCCGCGGGTGGGCGTGTCGAGCAGCGCAGCGGTTCGTTACCGGCAGAGATCTCCGGCCTCCGTGCCGTATCATGCAGAGCACTGTGCCGAGCTGAGCCGGCTGTCGGACCGGTATGTCCAAATGAGGCCGCCGATCAGCTGGGCGCAGCACGTCCCAGTGAGCACTCGGCTGCTCTGCCTACCGCAGAGCACAGCGGCCCGCTGACACATCAGCAGACTTCCAGTGCACTGTTTGAGCAGCCAGCATAGTCAGGCTCATGATGAAGGACAGGAACTATGGCTCCGAGCTAGCGGCGTGCCACCGTCAACAGCTCAGCCCAACAGATTGGGACAACTCAGTACCTATGCCTGTCAGTTCCGTAGAAATTGACGTGCTCAGCACTCGACGTTTTAATGGCTGACAGCCCTCTGCCACTGCGTGACGCTCCATCGCTCTTTGACGGCGGCAGGTCCGTGGAGCGGGACTGAGGACGCGAGCACTAAACGCAGCCTCATTCCGCGCGCGGTCGGCCATAAAAACCCAACAGCCCGCTCCCCACCTCCCCGGGGAGAGGGGTGGAGGAGGGAGAGAGGGTGGGAGACGCCGCGCGACGGCTGCCCAGTCAGCTCCCCTGAGGCACAACTTGGCACGAGCGGACGGCCCGGGCCTGATACAGCGCTATCACTTCCGGACAGACAGGCAGTGGACGGAGGGGGGACGGGGTCGGCTGGCCAGTGGCCACCTATTACTGATCATTGGCCATCTGACCACTGGGCGTTGACCGGCAATGGCCACCGACTATCGACCACCAAGCTGACCACCGTCAACCAACCACTAACCACCGGTAATCTATCATTTCCCATCGCATCGGATATTGACCACTGACCACCGAGCACTGACCATCCACCATCTGTCTGCACTTGCCACACCCAACACATCGGCTACTGATCTCTGATCAGTGGCCAACCGGCTACTGATCTCTGATCAGTGGCCAACGACCATCGACCACCGGTCACTGATCACAGGCCACCGGCCTTTGACCACTGCTGACACACCAAATGTGCTCCAATGGGTGTTCAACCCCGCCCTCCTTTCAAGTTTCATTGTACTCAACGACGGCCGATTCTGGCAAAACGATACGACACAACTGATGTTAAAGGGACCCTCCCACCTTCAAAAAAGTTTATGAATTGGCATGAAAGTGATGTCGCTCGGTTCAGAAAGAGCGAAAACGAATATCTACCAAATTTCACCGAAAAATATTCACCGGTTTTCAAGATATTAGACTTTTACTTTTGTTTACTTTTTTGGGATCTCCGCTGTTTCTAGCGACTTTATTTTAGAAGTGCGGCGTTTGCGGCAGATGTTGCGCGCAAATAGCATATACCACCACGTGCTACAAAACGTTTTAGTCAAACATTTAAAAATCGTTAGATATCTGCGTTGACGTCACACATTCAGAGGGGTATTCCTAAGCATTAGCCCCTCTGAATCAAAATGCTGCAATTTTGAAATTCAATATTTCCGATTTAAGGCATTTCTCGATGTTGTGAGTGCCGAAACCGGTAATTGTGAGCCAGGGACCCCATTTTGGCTATCTCAACTCAAATCTAATGTTAAGGTGGGAGGGTCCCTTTAACCCGCTGCACCGCCTTATCTATCAGCCGGACCATGAATCGCAGTACATATAGAGCTCAGGGACAGTCTCTGCTATGGCCAATAACCACCTTGTTGGGAGACTGAAGTGACTGAGAGCACATGTCGCTACCTGATATGGTGGCGAGAGCTCGTCTGACACTGTGTCGCCTGTCGCTTCTCCGTTGCTTGTCGCCACTCTGTCGACCCCGTTTGAAACAGTGTGGCGAGGTCTCTGGAGTCTTGGTGAAAGATTTGGAGCACCGCTAGACGCCGTCTATCGGGCCACCCCAGCAAGTAGACCGGATGCTCGCCCGGGCGGCGGCATCCCTGTGATCCGCGAGCGTGTCCCGCATACGGCCTCAAATCGGGGCACCCACGGGAATACATGGCCTAAGTCGGACCGGCTGAGCCGCGGGTCATGTCACGCTGGAGACGACATGTCTCAACTGTCACGGCACGGAGCCGCCGACAGTCCGGCGAGGACGCCCGTCCTGTCATATCATGGCACGCCACGCTATAAGGGAGTCCCTCGTGACGGTGGTTCACTGGTAAAACGGGACGGAATTCACGAACATGGCGTCCTTTTCCAACTGTGGCGGACTTTATTGGTGGTTTTACGGTAAGTCGTGGTCTTGTAAATGACTACGACGCTCATGAAGAACCGTATGTGGATTGTAAAGCAGCAGAACTGAAGGATTCAAAGTCGTACTTTTCCATTTAACAATTTGAATATTGACGATAAGAATCGACGATATGCATGGCCAATGTGTTATGAACATTTGTAATAGCTTTTAAATGGGGCTACACCCAACCCTTTCTTTGACATCCAGCATATCGACCGCCACTCCATTCATTACGGCTCCAAATGGAGCAGGGGTCGGGCACCGAATGCCTGCAGCTTATGAACGTCGTGCAGTGTGCACTTTGCGGGCGGCGCTAACGGGCACACCCGGCACAGGGCGCGGGGCAGCGCTCACCTGCACCGGCGGGGGTCGGGCGGCGGGCCACGCACAGAAGCCGGCCGGCCGCCGCCCGCGCCGGCTCCGATTACTTGGACCGTGATCACTATCCGGCGTCCCGCTCCATTAATCATTGCCACTATCGGGAGATGAATCGGACCGAACCGGGACGGGGCTCGGTCGCTGCTCAGCCGGCCCCGCGCCGGTGAGTTTTTGTGGGTCCCGCGGAGAGGGCAACACACACACGGGAGGCGGGAGGTCAGCGGCGACTTTGATCGTAGGCCAGGGCCGAGAGGGGAGCGATAGATGTCTAATTGGATCACCGCTCCCCGAGTGTGACCACGAATGAAACCGCGCGGTGACTTAATGACAGCGGTATCGAAGGTATGACAACACACGTGCGATTGACGAGGCAATTTGAGTTGTCAAACAGTCGGTCAGGAAACGATTACAGCAGTCAAGCAGCATGATTGATGACAATTAATATTGAAGCGTACATAAGCTTGCTGAAGACTGAGCTAAGCCTTGTAACAATTTGTCATCGCCAATTTCGGACAGGCGAAATTAATACTACTGGAGCAGCCGGTGATGGTTTGCGGTCATTTCATGCAGGAATCTAAATCATTCCCTCGCACGAACCATGACAAGTAGTGACTTTCCATTTCACAGTACACCGCTCATTAATTTACTGGTAATCGATAACTTTCAAAGTCGTCGAATTGTTGTGCTTGTCGATGTTCAGTATTGTGTCAAACGTAGAATTTCCATCAACAACATGCTACCGTGTAGATGGAGGGTCCGTTAACCGATCATGAAAATACATTATGACTGAGTCATGCGAATAGTAGCAAGAAAGAAATGAGGATAAACGCTGGTGGAATTGTACGTTCAACGTAACTAAGCTGTGCACTTGTTTCCATCTCACGCGATTCTGTTTTAAAAATCGAAGCAACTACCCTCCCCACAACCGACAGATGTATTTTTCTGGTTGAGAATAGCATTCAATTATCGCCTTTAGCCGTTTTTTTTTCTGATGACAATTAGCCTGACATTCCCTCCAGAACTATTTTCTAGGTCTTTGAATCACCGTATCCCTCAGACACAAAATAACGCCTTGATCATTACAGTACTACATCCCTGAAAAGTCTTGACATCACCCGTCACCCGACCCTCGGTCCCCTTGTAGGTATCATCCGACCCCGTCCTCACCTGGAGTGTCGAACCGGCCGTCGAGCCGTCCACGTCGTAGTACTTGTAGCTGGTGACGCTGCTGGCCTTCCTGGACGCCTTGGTGGGCAGCCGCTCCAGGTACGGGTTATACACCGGAAACTCTGTGTAGTAGCGCTCCAGTACATGCGCCGCCGCTCGCTGGATGCTCAGCCGACCTAGCGGGTACAGGCGCGACTCGCCATCCGGACTGCGCACCACGCGCACAGCGTACTGCGGCTGCGCGTGGCGCAGCTCGAGCAGCAGCACGGCCAGGTAGTGGATCCACAGCAGCGCGTCCACCAGCGAGCTGGCGAACACGAGGATGGTGTAGTAGCGCAGCGCCTCGCGCTCCTCCAGAACCCGCACAAAGAAGAACAGCCAGTAGCTGAACGTGAACACAAACACCAGTACGAGCACGATGGCGCGGAACGTGAAGATGCGCGGCATGGTGGCGCGCGGCGCACGCACAAACACTGCCCACGTGCCCGCCAACAGGATGAGTAGTTTGAACGCGAACGCGATCAGCATACCGTCACACTCTGCGCCACACTGCAACTGTGCCTGCTTCAGTCCGAGTAGGCTAGTCTTGGGTATTACCACCATGGCGACGGGCGATAGGAACGCGAAGAGACTGACGATGCCGGCCAGGGTGGTGCCCAGGTAGCGCTGGCACTGGAAGCTCAGCGTCTGCTCCGGCGCCTTCTGGAACCGTCCGAAGTCGTCGACAGATGTGGAGACGTCGGACGTGTTCCCTGTGATGGCGGTGGCATTGTCGGCCCACGAGTCCTGCGGCAGGATCTGCACCTCGATCACGTCCTGGGCCGATTGCGCGTGAGTCGGCTCGGAGAACATGTTGACCACGGTGGAGACGGGGGTGCCGCCCGAGCCGGGGCCGTCGAACGACTCCTCCAGCCGACTGCTGCTGGTCACAGAGAAGGGCATGGGTCAGGGGCAGCAGTCACAGAGGCAGAAGGGCGAGAGGCACCGGTTATACCTATTAACGGTGCGGGTCGGATACCGGGAGCAGAGACATTACAGGTCAGAGACAGAGGCAGTAGACGGATCGGGTTAGCTACCACTCACAGAAACAGTACGGATTATAGACGCAGGTCATAGAGATAGTCCGGTACAAACGCCGGGCATAGACATTACAGGTCAGACACTGGTAACCGGTCACAGACGGCATAAGTGCGAGACTGGTTGCAGTGGCGGTACGGGTCAAATGCTTGTCATGGGGGTGGCAACTGGCACCGGTCGCGTCGCGTCGGGTGCGGGAACAAGGAAGCAGTCGGCAGTGAAGCAGCAGAGGCGGTAATTAAATATTCTCCAAGTCATGGAGGGGTGCATTACATTCAAAGTCCAATCATTTACAGAAGACATCTTTCTCCGTTATAAATCGTGTAGTGCAAAGCAAGTGACGTGGACACAGACTCTCCATCATAATTACAGATGCTTATGTTGTAGAGAAAATCACTCAGCTTGTACATGAAAAACGGTGACAAGCTTGCGATAGGAATAAGACAACCATGAGCAATTAAGGAACACAAATTTCCACAGACAACACAACGTGCTTATTTCGTCAAATCTCAGTCAGTTTCACCCTCAATATCCCGCAACATAACTCCTCAGCTCAGACAGTATGGCCACAGGTACACGGAATCCGACCAGTCATCCGCGGCCCGCGCAGGGCGGAAGTGGGCACATCATTGCGATTGGTCGCACCGGGATTGGAGCACAAATTAGGTAATTGTTCGTGTGATGAGTTCGCTGCCTAACGCTCAGCGGTCCGGCGACCCGCGCATTTGTACGTGTTATATTCTGGGAGTGAACAGCGTGACACAGCGGTCTCTGCAATGACACGCAAGGAGCAACTGCATTAATGTGCAGCGGCAAGCAAATTAAGAATCAAGACAATTACAGACGGCGCAGTGGCTTCAAGTTAACTGCACAAAAGACAGTTATGGGTTCCTTCTGTTGTTTAAAATGCATTAGAGCCTAAGATAAAAATGATGAAATTTTCGGATAAAATTGAAATATGGTGTACACAGTGACCAGCTAATTCGAGTCAATCGAATGCGACGCTGCTGCCCGTCGCCATTCGACTAATGTCGAAATGGGCAAACCCAGGCCGACTCTTTTGTTGTGTAACGCAGGAAGCCGTTTCGCTGATTCACGACACGATCGTAGAGAAAGATTCGGTTTTATTAAGACCGAATACCAGCTACCGAGCACCAGCGACTGCCAGCGGTCAGAAGGGCTCTAAATCTTCATGATCAACGATCACTGATCGTTCGTGGGAGGCCTGCGATTGTAACATGTAGCCACCTTTGGGAAGTTTTCACAAATCTCACCGCTGCTGCTCTGGCTTATTATCAAACTTTGGGCTCTTGGTCCCAGGAACGGAGCAAATAAACAGCATTCCGCGATATCCTCAGCAGGAGGAATTCCGAACTTTTCTCACAACGCTGCCAAAGTTCTGTCATCTATCCTCGCGCTCAGCTCCCAACCTCATCCGCTGGATGCGGCTGACGGGAAACATCATAAATCATTTACCGTATCGCTTCTCGCCACCCAAACCTCAGCCTTCCGCCTTCATCCTCTATCCCCCATCCCCCGCCGCTCCCCATTCTCGCAGTTTCGCTGTTCCGCTTTGAGATCGCAGGCTGAGATCATCAGTCTGTTGCTAGGCGTTGTGTTATGAGACTGACACGAGACTACTCCCCGCATCACGGAATGATAAGCGCTTCATGTATAGCGGCATGTCCGCTGTGCAGAACAGGTTTGTGAGTGGATTTAAATTGTCACTTTCGCCGACATAAAACTTTTTTGGTGAGCCTGTTTATGACAGCGTCAAAGCGGTGAGTTTAGTGTATGTCCATGAGTCACGCCTTTGCTCGAATCTAGATATTTTAGGAGACACTGACGCATTATCTTCACGAGATGCCTGATAAGTGTAAGTGTTTAGGTAAAATTCAGTCAAAGTTTTGTCAGTGCCTTTCGTTAAAAATGCGTTTTGTTTACCCTGGCGACGGGGAAATGTCACGTTTTAAACAGCCGCGCTATATCCGGTTACCAATATCATTAGACCAAGCGGACCGCATATACAAGGACACATGGGTGCTAACTATACACACAGACAGACACACCCAGGTGGTGACTCACTGGTTCATCTGTCTGGAGAGCGAGCTGTGCTGGGGCAGCTTGCCGTTGGCTCGCGGCCCCGTCTTGTTGCGCTCGACGGTGGCCGAGCGCAGTGTGCCGCCCCCTCCGCTCGGCTCCATCCCCGCCCACGGGCCCGTGTCGGCGTGCAGGATACCCAGCATTCAGACATCGGCTGCCGCCGCCTGCGGACACACAGAAATATTAGGTGAGTCGTCATAATGCTAGTGCCAATGGGAACGCGAACAGCTTTGGGCTTTAGGCGAAATTATTGTAGCACAAACAACACTTGGATGTTTGGCAAACACATTTACTAAAGCATGAAGATATTGAGCATGCATGAATGCATGATGCAAACACTCACTCATGAACAGGTTGGCATTACACATTACACAACCACAAATTTGTGGTTGTGGTAGGTAGGAAATCAAATAGCACAACGGTAAAGGTCATCACCGGCAAGAAATCATCACACATCGGACAGTAAACCTCCCGAGACACCGCACCGAGCGATCCACATCTTCATCCGCATCCTCACTGTCAGCGCTGACAGCAAGCGGTACCTGATGACGGCAGTGCCGCTTCCTCAATGAGGCTGGCGTGACTGTGCGCTCACGTTCCCACACCAACACACCCCTGGGAATTCCAGTTTCCAGGCCGATTCGACCCAAACGGAACCCAGCAAAGCTCCGTTGCTGGTGGCGGCCTCATCCTTCGGCAGATATTTTATGTCGAGGACTTGGACACGTGAGGTGGCAGATTCCCTCTAGATCCATTGGACACGATGCTCTTCAACAAGTTCATAGCAAGAGACGGCCAGCCACCCAAAGAGCGACCTTCGCCGACAGTTTACCGGTGGGACGCAAAAATCCGCATTCAGAAGGCATGGCGTCACGGCTCTCAGTGGACCTTCACGGCCACTCGACGTAGTGGTGGCCGTGGCACCAGACTTGTGATCAGCTCAGTTGAGCCGGCTCAAAAATCAGCTCAGCTCATGAGCCGGCTCAACATTTTGCCAAATTGTTGAGCTGTGAGCTGAGCCGGATCAGTAATGCATTGAGCTGAGCTGCTGTCTGAGCTGAGCTGAATGAGCTTGAGCTGAGCTGAGCTGAATGAGCTTGAGCTGAGCTGAGCTGAGCTGAGCTGAGCTGAGCGAGCTGAGCTGAGCTGATTGAGCTGAGCGAGCTGAGCTGAGCTGAGCTGAGCTGAGCTGAGCTGAGCTGAGCTGATTGAGCTGAGCTGAGCTGATTGAGCTGAGCTGAGCTGAGCTGAGCTGATTGAGCTGAGCTGATTTAGCTGAGCTGAGCTGATCCAGTTCTAATTCTTTTCAGTTCATGCTTGGAAATTAACTCAGGATTTGATGCTTCAGCTATGAGCTAGCTATGGAGTGAGCAATTACACTGCCTTCGTGATCGCACTTAAAAATATCAAAACTCTAAAGAAATTAATATTAATCACTAATCAAGCTTAATTTATTTCATCCATATTGCATGGAAATTGGAAGACCAGGGTCTTGGCCAATTTACAGGCTAATACAGCCAGTCTCAAGTTTCAAGTCTGACTGCAAGATGAATACCTACTGTCAGGCTTTGATGCTTCGCCTTGACACTCTGCTCCGCAATGTACAATTCAGCATTCTTCACTTTGTTATTCAAGCAGTTATTTAAATTAATTTTATCAAAAAGGGTTCTTACCTCTGCATAAAATATTTACAATTAGGAATTAGCAAATAATGTTCCTCTTCGTTGGTTGAATGTGGGCTAAGCAACCATATCCTATTGAAAGTGGGGTGGGGCAGAGGCGCTAACTGGAACTCTCACCTTCTGATGTCCATAATATGGGAAAAGCTCCCTTATTCACACACCGACTATGAATTCTAATGGTGTTGACATTGCCTTGGTTGAGATCAGGGTGGTGTTGGTTTCACTGATAACAGCGCGCTGCTATCACACGTGTCAAATGGGGTTTCCATGGAGATATAAACAAACTCTTATCTCCAAGTTCCAACACTACCCCAAAATGTAACGTCAGCTCCTGGCAGGGTGCCAAGAGCGGATGGCGGCGTGGGCGTGCTGCTCTCGGCCGTGAAACACCGCCTAGTTGAGATCAAGGCCGTATATTAGGGTTGAGATGATTCCATGGCGTTTTTTTTCGTCTAGCAGATTTTCGTCCGCAGATTTTCGTCCGACTTTTCTTCGTCTGGCATTTTTTCGTCTGTACATTTTTTCGTCTGTAAACTTTTTCGTCCAGACTTTTTTCGTTCGTATATTTTGAACTTACCTATATGTTATGTTAACATCGCGGGTGCACACTCTGATAACATGTGATAACACTGCCAAGAACAGTCCATTTCATGTAACTATAGTCTGAGTCCAAGTAGACGCAGCTTCGTAACATGTTACGAAGGCACCAAAACTGCTTCGTAAATGTTCAAATGGTTGCTAAATTCGAATTCAGCTCCAAAAACTTGCCTAGAAACATGTAAAACTCGAAAAAGTGAATCGAGGTCATCAAAGGTCAATGACTTGACCTGACCTTCCGGTGACCTTGACACCCACCCTAATGCATGGGAGCAACATCATACATATGTTTGAACGCTTGAAACCACAAAAAGACTGCTAACGCGCGGCTAATGCGAGCCGACATACGCCGAATCGCGATTCCGGCCAAACATGGTCTCGAAAAGTAGATCACAGGTCAAAGGTCATTAGGGTCAGGGTCATGAAATTTTCAGGATAGGTGTAAAATTGATTATCGCGAGGGTACTGAAAGTTTCGTCGCGATCGGCCGCTTTTTACGCGAGTTATTCGCGAAAAACCCCCCCTATACGGGCGAGGGTTAAGCATGTCCGATTTAAAAAGAACGACTGAACGATCTAAGCGTGAATTTAACTGAGCGGAAACTGAGCTGAGCTGAATTGAGCGGAAACTGAGCTGAGCTGAACGGGAACTGAGTTGAGCTGAGCTGAGCTGAGCGGAAACTGAGCTGAGCTGAGCGGAAACTGAGCTCAGCGGAAACTGAGCTGAGCTGAGCTGAGCGGAAACTGAGCTGAGCTGAGCTGAGCGGAAACTGAGCTGACCTGAGCTGAGCGGAAACTGAGCTGAGCTGAGCTGAGCGTGAGCGGAGCACAGCCGGTTTGAGCGGAGCGTGAGCTGAGCTGAGCCGTGTTAAACTGAGCGGGAGCTGAGCGGGAGCGGATAAAACGGAGTTGAGCTGAGCGAGCTCACTTTTTTCTTGAGCTGTCACAAGTCTGCGTGGCACAGGTCGGTGACACGGTGTCGGCAGGTCCGGCGGAGAGCAAGGGCGCGGAGGGTTGGTGCTGGACATGGCTTTAGCCACTCAAGGCAGAGGAAATAACTCCGTTAATCGTTATAGCGGATGGTAAACACAGAGACTGAACGTTACGCCCATGTCTTTTCACACTACAGTGCCTGCATGGTGATTGGACGGAATGGAATATCAAAAATCCCTTTCAACTTCAAATGCAAACTACACAGTTAATTAGCATTTCGGAAACATAGCACAATAGGCATGAATAATCAGGATCCTGATATAACGTTAAACGGGCAATCAATCAAAAATCGTCACCCAATAATATGCTGACGCTATAGGCTTACGCCAAACTCCGAAGCCAGACAGACGAATTGCAGCGGTGACCAGCCTCGGTAGTCGACCGTAGTTTGTACCGGCGTGAGCCACGGTTCCCAGCCCGGGAGGGACTATGTTTGGACATGGTTAGACACGGAACGACGCAACGGACCGCTCGGCAAGGGACGGTGGCGTGGGTCGGCTGATGATAAGGAAGCCGGACTCCGACGCTCCGACGCCAGTGGGCTGTAAGGTGCACCGAGTGGCGAGCGGGGCTCAGGGGCCGAAAAGCGGTGTCGTTTTTGGAGCGAGCCGCACGATTTTGCTCACGGGCTGAGCCGTGGCGTGCGCCCTAATCGGCCGGTCTTCATCCGACTAGTCGTGACCGAAGAAGTGACGCCACTTCTAGGTACCGTTTCGTCTGCCGGCCGCAGACTCAACGTATTTTTACATTCATTTATGATAATGCATTTTGAGGGCATGCTTACAAATGCACAATCAAAATGCGGACCTCAAGTGGCTGTGATTGGGAGTGACATTAAAAATATCTCAGACTTCGTGCAAGTTTGGACGGAGGAAAATATGCAAAACATGATGCACCAGCCGGAGCTATAATTCACGTGTTCAACGTCCGACAAATCAGGTATGAAATAAACTGAACATAAACATGCCAGCCCCAGAGCATCAAGTTCATCATTGTGTTGGCGTTCGTATGGGCCGTGTAGCACTACAATGGCCTCTCCAATGCGCTGCACCGTCTAATTGCAGTGGCATAGGGCGGCGTACAGCGCCTTATCAGAACCCATCATCGTGACTGAGTGGCACGACTCGTAGTTTGCTCCTCACGGTGTATTGGACACGACACGGTGACAATGGGTGTGTATCTGACACCCTGGGGTCATGACACCGAGAGAGCGATATTTTTACATCCGTGACATCAGGACGAGACAGACAGGCCCGCAGCACATGTATGAACCCTTCAGATAGTTTGTATTCGTTATAACATAGTTGTCTGGTCAATAACATTAGATGAGGTCATAAGGTATGCACTATGCAATAATTACAGGCATCTTTTGGGAATCCCGCGTCCCAGGAATCTGCGCGGTGCACAAGGTATAGATGTTATCTGAACATCGCGGCACAACGCTGAGGCGTGCCGTCAGAGGCCGTCCATAAGAAACCGTAATCGGATCTTTGGGAGCCATCAACATGAATGAAGAAGCCATATAGCAGCGGACGCTAAAGATCAGAAGTAAAAAAGACAGGTTCATTTGTTTCGAAACTGGCGTATAGCGTAAGCGACAAAGTTACCATGACAGGTCAGGCGAGCGGGCGACCACCAAGTAGGTATCCCCATATAGTGATTAGTGATAGTGATATTGCAATGAACGTCAGCTAAGCTGAACGCGAACTTCTGGAAGCTGGGTCGCATTGCGTTGCCACATTTTTTATACCTAAGCCTCGATGACTCATATTGAGCTCACCAGATTCCGTGCGAGAAATTGCTAACCAGCTCACAGCGACATCTGAAAGCTATGACTCTATCCCCTGTCTCGCCCGGCTTTCGAGGATTGCTGCTGAGACAGTCCCAGCGCCG